CTTGGAAGCCTCTTGGGCGGCCGTGGGCGGTCGGAAGCCGAAACTAGCGAGCGATCCCAAATCCCTCAAACACCAGCAGACAATTACTGATCATGGCCTGCTGGGGCCCTCCAGGAGAGCCTCCTGATGGACTCGTGGGCCGCCTTGGTGGCGTCATGAGACCATCTTGGACGAACTCCATCTTGGAGGGAGGAGGGAGGAGGGAGGAGGGAGGGGGGGAGGGGGAGGGGGAAGGGGGGAGGGGAGGCCATCTTGGACCGTCTTGGAGGCACCTTGGACGAACTGCAAGGCTGCCTTCGTCCCTCGTGGGCCGTCTCGGCGGTCTTCTTGGACCGTCTCGGGGCTCCCCCGGGGCGTCTTGGAAGGGCCTTGGCTTGCCATCGCTCGGACGTCCATTCCTCGTGCATTGTTCGGCTTCGCGCGTGTATTTTCGCAAGATGATCCAGCATGCTCCTCGATGGCCTTCTGTACGGGTCCTAGCGGATTCGTGTGATTAGGTGAGGTATGGCGCCCATTTCGGCGGCACGCCCGGGAGCCCGGGTGCCCGGGTGCCCGTTTGCCCGGGTGTCCAGGTGCCCGGTAGCTCTATAACCCTATAGCCCTTGTAGCCTTATAGCCTTGTAGCCCTATAGCCCTACCCCCCCCACCTTTCGCCACGGCGCCCCTGGTCTCTGGAACCCGACCCCGACCACCCCTAACACTAATCCTCACCCTTACCCAAACCCCAAACCCCAAACCCTAACCCAAACCCTAGCCCCAAATAGCACACACTATTCATTACGCACTACTTACTACCCGCAACTCACTACTCGCTACTCACTACTCACTTCTCACTATTCACTGCTCACTACTCACGACTCGCTACCCACGATTCACAACCCACTACCCACTACTCACTACTCACTACTCCCTATCCCCTACTCACTACTCACTACAAACTACTCACTACTCACTACCCACTACTCAATACTCACTACTCACTGAACAGAGCTCCAAACCCACTGATCACTAATCACAAATCACTACTCACTACCCACTAACCAGTACTCACTACTCACGCTTCACTACTCACTACTCACTGCCCACAACTCACTACTCACGATCCACTACTCGCTACTCGCTACTCCCCTACTCCCTACACAGTACTCGCTACTCACGACTCGCTAATCCCACCGCCCTACTCGCTACCCGATAAGCACTATTCACTACCCACTACTCACTGCTTTCTACGCTCCCACTACTCACTACTCACTACTTCCTACTCCCTAATCACTACTCCCGACGCACTACTCACTACCCAGTACTCAATACTCACTACTCACTAAACACTAGTCACTGCCCACTACTCACTACTCACTAACCACTATCCTCTACTTACTACTGAGTACTCACAAGTCACTACTCACTACGATACGCACTGCCCACAACTCACTACCCACTATCCGCTACTCGGTACCCAATGCAACATATTCACAAACCACTACGCGCTACTCGCTACTCACTACTCCCTACCCCCTACTCACTAGTCGTACGTCGCTACTCGCTACTCACTACTCACTACTCGCTAATTTCTAATCGCAACTCCCTACTCGCTACCCGCTACTCAATACCCACATCTCGCTTCTCAGTGTTCACTACTCACGATTCCCTACTCACTACTCGCTGATCACTACTCGCTACTCCCTACTTGCTACGCACTATTCCCTACTCACTATGCACTACTGACTTCTGACTACTCCCTCCTCACTACTTACTACCAACAAGGCGCTACTCGCTACTCACTACTCGCTACTCCTTTTTCGCTACTCGCTACGCACCACTCACTACTGACTACTCTCTACTCAATGCGCACTAACCACTTCTCACTACTCACTCCTCGCTATTCGCTACTCTCTACTCCCTCATCCCTACCCCTTGCGTATTACCCACTATGCACTACTCTCTACACACTACGCAGTCCTCACTACTCACTACTCATCATTCCTTACTCTCTACTTCCTTCCAACTACTCACCATCCACTACTCACTACTCACTACTCACTAACCTCTACGCACTACTCACTACTACCACTACCCATTACCCACTACTCACTACTCACGACTCACTGCGCACTACTGACTATCAAATACCCACTACTCACCACTCGCTACTTAAAGCACTCTACTCTCTACTCACTACCCGAGAGGCCCCCTCCCCAGCCCACTGTTCGACGCAAAGGGGGGGACGGGGGGCGGGGTCGACCCTGACAGGGGGGGTGGGGGTCGGACCCCCCCCCCTCTTAGGGGGGGGAGGGGGGGGGATCGAAAATCTCACCCTCCCCTTTGAAGGGGGGGAGGCGGGGGGGGTTCTGCGAGCACCCCCCCCTTTTGTGTATTCAGGGCCATCCACTGGCGCGCTTTCCCTTATAGCCAGCCCTGTAGCCCTAATAGCCCTATAGCCCTATAGCCTTGTGCCTTATTTCCCTATAGCCCCAGAGCCTTATATCCTTATAGCCTTATAGCCCGATGGCCCCATGCCCTATACCCCTGAAAATGTGGTGATTGTTGTTTTCCCGCGGTGTGATTTCGCAGGATAACCCAGCATGTTCCTCGGTGGCCTTCGCAGGAACAATTTGCACACGTTCGAGCTTGGGCGGCGATAAAAGGAAGGGGGGGGGGGGGCGATGCGCGGGGAGGGCGGCGAGGGCTGCCGAACTGGAGCCCTTCAGGGCCCCGAGAGGGGCCCTTGACGGCCCCAGAGGAGGGCCTCTGGGGCCCGAGAAGAGCTCCTCCCTCTCCCCCCCCTTATCGCCTCCCATGTAGCTCGGTGGCAGGAGGAGCAGGATGAGGAGGAGGAGGAGGAGGAGGAGGAGGAGGAGGAGGAGGAGGAGGAGGAGGAGAACCCAGAATGCTCCTCGATGGCCCTCGCAGGACAACAAACGCAAAAGTAGCACACGTCGTCCGAAGGCCGCCGAACTGGGCTCAAAACACGCCGGCGGGGAGCGCCGGGGGCGACGGCAAAGGGAGGCCGTGCACCGTGCGGCGGTCGTCGGGGCGCCGGCCCGGGGGGGCCCTGCCCGGGTCTCCCGACGGGGGCCGCCCGGCCCTCGAGTCCGAGGCTCCCTGCCAACAAGGATTGTCCTCTGTGCCTCCCAGAGATCCAACGCATCGAAAAATTCACGACGCAGGCTCTTCGCAGACCTCGGCCTCCGGAGGCCCTCGCCGGGCCGCGGGGCCGCCCACAGAACGGCTCAGGATGAAGAGCCGGTCCTGGGGAATGGGTCGAGACCTCCGGGGACCGCGTATTGAAAAAAATCACGACGTCGGGTCTCTGGGCTCGTCCTTCTCTCCGCGGTTGGGTCGGGGCGGCGACCGCGCCAGATCGCCAGCCTCAGCCAGCCCACAGGCAAGGGGGGCAGCTGCTGCGACGGGGATCTTCCCCGAACAATCGGGCGTTGCTAGAAGTGCCCCTGGCCCAGGGTGCCCCCAAGATTTCCACGGAGGCCCCCACGGCCTCCAAAGCACCTCTCACGAGACCCGAGGGCCCCAGGGGATTCAAAACCGAGCGAAAAGCTGGGGGCACCTTGGGCCAGGGGCACCTTTAGCAACCCCGGACACGTGTGGCAGATTCTAGAAACCTTGAACCCAACGATGTTGTCGTCTCTTGGGAACGCATTTTTTGCTTCCGCCACCCTCCGCCGCCCGTTCGCCGGCGGAGGCGGCCCCGTTTCACCTCCGCCGCCCTCCCGCCGCCTTCTGCCGAGGAAGAGAGGACAGCTCCTCCGATCATCGGAGGCAAGGCCCCTGTTTGGAACGCCTCGTGTGCTCAGCCGCTCCGATACGCAGCACGCAACACGTAGCGTATTGATACGGAGCCCAACAGGTACCCCGAAAACGTGGGTCTGACGCGATACGTTCGCCAAAACGTGGGCCAACATAGGTTGAGCCAACAAGCAACGTGTTGGCACGGACGTTCTGAGCACGGCACGTGCTGCGTATCAAGACGTGCGCATCGAGGCAGCTAAGCTCGTGTGTGATCCAGCGCTGCTCCCCGTACCAAAATGCTGGATGGCGCCGCAGGTTCTGCAGGCCTCCGCGCTCCAGAAGCACACCCCGAGAGAGAGAGAGCGAGGCGGGAGCGACCGGTTTCGCCAGGCTCCGAGCTCCCGCGCCGAGCCCTCGCGCGCGCCTCGTGGGGGCCTCTTGGACCGAGCTGCCCCGATACGCAGCACGCAACACGCAGCGTGTGGATGCAGAGCTCCGCACGTACCCCGAGAACGTAGGTCTGACGGGATACGTTCGCCAGAACGTGGGCCAGCATAGGTTGAGCCAACAAGCAACGTATTGGCACGGACGTTCTGAGCACGGCACGTGCTGCGCAGCAAGGCGTGCGTATCGAGGCAGGTAAACTCTTGAACCGTCGGGAGGCCGCAGTCGCGGGCCATCTCAGAGCACTCGCTACACACACACGCACGCATGCTTATTCGCCGCATGTCTATGTACACGCATCACAACTCGCACTGCGCAGAGACACTGCACACACTGCCACACCATTCGCGGCAGCTCCCTGGTGGACACTGCTCGAACGTGAGAAAGCACGTCGTACGCTGTTGAATGTCGTCGGATCTCGTGGCGCCTGTGGGGCCTCCACGGACCTCTGGAGACGCTTGGGGGTCAGGTTCCAGGGCAGCGTTGAGATTCACCAGGAGGGGAAGGGGCTTCAGCTGTTTGTAGTTTCGGCAAGGCTCGAAGGAGAAAAACAGGACAACAAAAAAGAGGAATAAGGAGGAAAGGGAAGCCACCTGCTGTTGCTGCTCCTCCTCCTCCGCCTCTTCCTCGTTCTCCACCCTCGTCCTCCTCCTCCTCGTCCCTCTCTCTCCCTCTCTCCCTTCTTCTTCCTCCCCCCCATCGGAAAAAGGAGGATGAGGGGGAGGAGGAGGGACAATGAGGATGGTGAGGAGGGGGAGGCGGGGCAGCAAGAGGAGCGGGAGAGCTGGAGGAGGCGGACACGAGGCCGAATCTCACAAGGCCTGGACGGAGTTCGCGAAGTTCTGGCCGAACTGCTGGATGTCCGAGATGCGCGACATCCGCAGGCCCTGGACCTTGACCTCCGCAGGCGCGCGCCCCCCTTTAATCATCCAGGCGAGCCCCAGGAAGGAGGGAGAGATGGAGGGAAGAGGATGAAGGAGGGATGCCCATTCTATATGTGGTTATGCCTGTATGCCGTTTTGTTCATGTACATGTATATGTGTATGATATGTGTCTACGTGCATGTCTGTGTATGTGTATGTGTATGTGTATGTGTATGTGCATGTGCATGTGCATGTGTGTGTATGTATGTATGTTTGTATGTTTGTATGTATGTATGTATGTATGTATGTATGTATATATATATATATATGTATATATATATGTATGTATGTATGTATGTAGGTATGTATGTATGTATGTATGTATGTATGTATGTATGTATGTTTGTATGTTTGTATGCATGATTATATGTATGTATATATGCACAAGACTTGAAACTCGCTGCGCTTCGCTATAAAGCCTCGGTGTAGCGTACTGTGAGCCAAGCGAGGGGGGCGGAGGACAGACAAGCGTGCTGGGCCGAAACGGCTGCGAGAAACGGCAACGCACGTGGTGTGGTGGAAGAGGCGCGCGCGGTTCGACGACGGCGACGACGACGTTGTCGTCGTCGCCGTCGTCGGTCATCTTGAGGTGATTTTAAGCCATCTGGAGCCCCAATCGGAGGCTTTTCGGCCGTTTTGGGCCCGCAGCAACGGATGATGAGAGCGGCGATCGTGACATTATGAATGAGACGTAGGACTACAGTAATGATGAAGTAGTGGTGGTGCCGACGGGCACGGCGGCGACGGAGGGTTCGGGAGCCAGTTGGGGGTGTGGGCTGAGGGGGGGGGGGGATGGGGCGCAGGTGACGGGGCCTTCGGTTCGGAAGACCGGGGTCACCAGGGCCGGATGATGATAATGATGACGTCGTCGAAGAGGTTGTGAAAGGAAGAGTGTTTTTTTTTGTGTGTGTGTGTGTGTGTGTGTGTGTGTGTGTGTGTGTGTGTGTGTGTGTGTGTGGGGGGGGTATGGGAGCGCGCGGTGAGCGTCAGGGGTTGTTGGGGGAATGGGTTGTTCGTGGAACTGTGACGCATCGGGGGGCTGCCGCGCGGTTTGTCTAGCGGCGGGGCGCGCTCGGGAACGCAGCGGCTCTCGGGCGTCCTCTTGGGAAAGATGGAGGGCTCGGGAGACTGCAGTGAATGTGGGGCGTTCAGGTAGGAGGGCGCCAACTATACACCAACACCGATCCTGGCCAGGACCACCCTGGGCCCAGGATCGGTGTATACGCCCTCCTGCCTGGGGCAGGAAGGCGTATACACCAACCCTGGGCGCAGAATTGGCCTGGCCAAGATCGGCGTAGGTGTATAGTTGGTGCCCTCCGATTAGGGGCTTCGCGAAGGTTTGGGTGAGCTTTTGTTGACGGGGGTGTGTTTGGGGCTGCGTGCCTCGGGTGGTCTTCTGGGGGCGACGGGGCGCTCGGAGGCCCGTCGTCGGCGCGGGGCCTGGGGGGTCGGAAAATGTTGGGGGGGGGGGGGGCGTCGAGAAAGGGAGGAGGAGGAGGAGGAGGAGGAGGAGGAGGAGGAGGAGGAGGAGGAGGAGGAGGAGGGAGGAGGAGGAGGAGGAGGAGGGAGGAGGAGGGAGGAGGAGGGAGTCTCCTGGGGCGAGCGGCGACAATGAGGAAGGCGCCGTCCAGGTGCTTGGATTGACGCGGGGGGTGGTCCGGCTGGCTCGGAGGGTCGAAGAATGGCACCCAGACCACTCCGTGGGTATCTTTTGGCTAGATTCGCGAAGGGGTGCAGCCGCGGCCATGAAGCCCCGCATAGGCCCACGAAAGCGCGACGGCGTCATGAAAGATCCCCGAGCTTCGGTTCCTCATTTGTCATCGACGCGGGGCGAGAGTGAGGCGCGCCTGGGCGTCGAATGCCTTTTTGATCCCCCGTCCTCCATCCCTCCCCAAAGTGAATGCCACATCGGAATGTCCGCGAATGGCCGATACCAGCAAGCTGCACAGAAACACCGAAGGGGCGAGTTCGGGCGTCGAAGGCCTTTTTGATTCCCCTCCTCCCTTCCTCCCCAAAGTGGACGCCGCATCGGAATGTCCGCGAAGACGCCAGCAAGCTGCGCGGAAACACACAAGCGACGAGTCGGGGGAGGATCAGGGAGGTAGGAAGCGGAAGGGGGACCGGGAAATCTGGATCAGAAGTCGTCGGCCCCAGGGGGCACAGGTGGGAAGATCTGGCTGGGGCGCTGCACGCGAGTTCCAAGTGGCCGAAGTGGCCTGCCAAAGAAGAAATGGGGCCCTTGGGGCCCCCGGGGATGGGCCAGAGAGAGCCTCGGGGACCCCCGAGGCCTTCCAGATTCTATCGAATGGCCTTCGGCCCATCCCGCCACCGTGTCGCGATTGTGGGTACGAGGCCTTTGGGATGTTCTTTGGGATATATTGGGGAGCTTTTCGGGGGTCCCTTTGAATCAATTTCGAAGCCCCTTGGGGGTGTTTTGGGCCCTCTTTGGGCGTCTCTTGGGCCTCTTGGGGGCGTCTTGGGGCGTCTTGGGGGGGGGTTCTTCGGCCTCTTGGGAACCTCCTGGGGCCTCCTGGGGGCCGCTTGGGGTGAAGGCTCGAATTTTCGGTTCGGGCTCGCCTTCTCGGGCCCTCTTGGCGCCGTCTTGGGGATCTCTTGGGCCGTCTTGGGCGCCTCTTGGGCCGTCTTGGGAAACTCCTGGGCCGTCTTGGGATCCTCTTGCGAGCCTCTGGGGCCGTTTTGGGGCGGGCTTGGAGGCCCCTTGGTCCGTCTTCCACGCCGTGGCGACCGAAAAGTCGTAGATGCCAACAGATTGCGTTTTCGTATGCACGAATTTGACGATTTTTGGCCTCTTGGGGCCCTTTCGGGTGTGCTTTTGGAGGCCTCGTGGGACGTCTTGGAGGCCTCTCCGTCTTGGAGACATCTTGGGCGTCTTGGAACGATATTCGGGCGTCTCGGGGCCCTCGTGAATCGTCTTCGGCGCCTCTTGGAGCATTCTTGGTGTCCGTTTCGGCGCCCCCGGGGACGGCCCGGGAGAGCCTCGGGGACCCCCGGGGCCTTCCAGATTCTTTCTCGTGGGGGCCATCCCTGTCGGTTTCCTGGTGCGAGATGGTTAAGGTAGGTGTCTATGTATATGTTTATACTTATATGTACATATATATATATATATGTGTGTATATCTATATGTATATCTGCATGTATATATGTATATATGTATAGATGTATATTTGTATACACGTATATATGTATATGTATATATGCATGTATATATATACATATATACATGTGTGTCTGTCTGTCTGTCTGTCTGTCTGTCTGTCTGTCTGTACGTACGTACGTATGTATGTATTCCGATGCTTATTTTCTACAGGGTCGAGGCCTCGGGGGACGAGGGGGCGAGTTCGAGGACGGAGGTCCTTGGACTCTCCTCGTCCTTCCCCAAGCCTCTGGGCGCCGTGGCAAGTGCCGCGACGAACGGCTTCGGTGCCGCCGTCGGCCTCCGATGGGGGCCGTCGCCCGGGCCGTGGGCCTGCCGACGGGAACGACTCGGGATGAAGAGGCCAGTCCTGGGGCGAACGGGAGCACGACGAATGTCTTTCAGGCGACCTTCGGCCTGCAGGAATCAAGTCGGGCCTGCTCCTCTACAGGACGACTGGCCAAAAACAGTCAAAACACCATCAGGGGATACTTTTTCGAGTGCTTTTGGGGCATGTTTGTGGTATGTTTTGAATATCTTTGTTCTCTCGTCCAAAATCCGCCTGTAGGGGGACATGCCCGACCTGATGCAAGAACCCTCACCGGGCCCCCGGGGCCGTGAACAGAAGCGACTCGGGATCAACAACAGAGAACGGTCCCAAGGAAGGGGCCCCAGGCCGCTTGGGAGACGCGCCGTGATGAAGATCACGACGTCGACGGCATGGGCTCCTCGCGGTTTGCACCGCCTCCCTCCCCCCACACCTCCAGGCAGTCCCTCCCCTGCCGATTGCACCCCCGCTTCCATGCGCCGCTGGCCGTGTCAGGGCATCGGGCCACGGAGAGACAGAGAGGTGGGGAGAGAGAGAGAGAGAGAGACGAGACGAGACGAGACGAGACGAGAAGAGACGAGACGAGAAAGACACTCTACCTTGGTCCTCCACCTCTTACTTGCAGGCGACATGAGACAGAGAGGGGTAGATCAATCGAAGTAGCGAACGCTCTTAGGAGCAGTTTTCGCCATCACCGTTATCATATTGTTGTTCCTTCTCCTTCCCTTAAGCGTCCTCTTCCTCTTATTCTTCCTCTTCCTCTTCCCCGTTCTCGCCTTCATTGTCCCGCGAACCCTTTCCCGTCCTCAGATCTGTTTGCGGAGGCTCCTCCGAGGCGAGCTTCTGGAGGACGCCCAGAAGGCCGAATAACCGAATGGCCCAAGAGCATTTGAAAACCCATGGGGTGTAATTTGCCCTGGGTTTCGAGAGCCTTCTGGGGGTGCTACTGGGGCCGTCTTCGGGCGTCTGGCGGGGGCCCGGGGCCGCTGGGGGGCCCTCTTGGGCCGTCGTGGGGGGTCTCTTGTGGCCGCCGCCGGCCCGTGTGCACGGCTTCGCTCGGAAGAACTGAACACAGGCACGGGGGCTGTGGCGTGTGCGGGCGTCCACAAGGAGTCAGCCAACGGCCACGGCCTCAAAGTACAGAAGCAATGCCAAGCCGAGGAGGCCATCTTTTGCAGGGGGTCGCAGCGGGGCGCGCAAACTTTATGTGACGCGTGAGGAATGGACAGGATCCAGGGTTCGCAATCGATTTTCGGGAAATGTGGTTGCGGCCCTGGGATTCGGGTCAATTTGGTCGAACACGCCCTGTGGACATTGATGGAGCCCTGGTGGGCCAGCTGGGGATCCTGTCGAGCCGTCCTGGGGCCATCTTGGGCCGTGCTGGGGAGCTTGGGCCTGTTAGGGACCTTGCGAAGGCTATGTGGGCCCTCCAGGTGGCCTCCCATGGCCAATCGGGGGCCTCCCATGGCCTTCTTTGGCGTGTCTTGGGGGTCTTGTGAGGGCCTGTTGGATGTTTCTGTTGCCCTTTGGAGGCTTCTTTGGACAGTCTTGTGACCATCCAGGCCGTCTGGAGGCTCTCTTGGGAGTCTCTTGGGCCGTCTTGGGGCGATACCAGAAGATTTTTGCCAGTTTTGGACGCTGGTAAGACCCGAACAGCCAAGATGCTGAACGTGTACGTTTTCCTCAGGGAATGAAGCTATTTTTGCGTCCTGGGAGTCCTGTTGAGGGCCTCCTGCGCCGTCTTGGGGGCCTCTGGAGGCCATCTGGGTCCTTCTTGGAGCGCTCTTGTGCTGTCTTGGGTCTCTCTTCGGCCTCCCTGATCACCGCTCTGATCGCTCGGGGTCTGCTGGCGAGACCCGGCTGAGCGCCCTGGGAGGCCTGGGAAGAGCCAGGGGACCTTCGGCAACGGTGTCTGGGGGACCCGGAAACCCTAGATCCTGGGAGTTCGGTTTTGGGGTGGGGGGCGGGTTTCCCCCCCCCCCCCCCGCTTGTAAAACTTTAGGAAGAGGAATGCATAGATGTATAGATATACACATATATGTATATGTATTTATATGCATGTATGTATGTGTATATAGATACATGTGTGTTCATATATATATATATACACAAATTCATTTAGTCACACTTGTATGTCTATATATATATATATATATACATCACCCCGCAATTGCCGATAAGAGTGAGGCGGCCAGGGGGGAGAGGAAGGGAAGGGGGAACCGGAGCTACGACCAGGCGTTTCTTCAGGCAGTCCGCCTCCCCAGAACGCCCTCCCAGCGTGCCCTCCCAGCGCGCCCTCCCATCGTGCCCTCCCAGCGTGCCCCCTATGCGTGCCCTCCCAGCGTGCCCTCCGAGCGTGCCCCCCACGCGTGCCCTCCCAGCGTGCCCTCCCATTGTGCCCTCCCAGCCCCCCCAGCCCTCCCAGCGTGCCCTCCCAACGTGCCTCCCAGCGTGCCCTCCCAGCGTACCCTCCCAGCGTGCCCTCCCAGCGTGCCCTCCCAACGTGCCCTCCCAGCGTGCCCCCCCAGCGTGCCCTCCCAGCGTGCCCTCCCAACGTGCCCTCCCAGCGTGCCCTCCCAGCGTCGCCGCCCCTACTCCAGCCACTCGCGCGCAGCGATCACGTAAGACCGTTCGGGTCCCTTCATCTTGACATGTATGTATGTATGTATGCATGCATGCATGCATGTATGTGTGCGTATGTACGTATGTCTGTCTGTCTGTCTGTCTGTCTGTCTGCCAGCCAGCCAGCCAGCCAGCCAGCCTGTCTGTCTGTCTGTCTGTCTCTGTCTGTCTGTCTGTCTGTCTGTCTGTCTGTCTGTCTGTCTGTCTGTCTGTCTGTCTGTCTGTCTGTCTGTCTGTATGTGTGCATGAATGTACACATGCACGTACATACGTACGTGTGTGTATGTACACATGTGTGTATATGTTTGTGTGCACGTAAGTAAGTAATTGTGCATGTGTATGTATGTATGTATGTATGTATGTATGTATGTATGTATGTATTTGTGTATGTATGTATGTGTGTATGTACGTATGTATGTGTGTATGTATGTTTGTTTGTTTTTATGTATGTATGTATGCATGAATGTATGTATGTATACGATGGTGTGTGTATGCATGTATGTATGTGTGTACGTGTGTATGTATGTATGTATGTATGTATGTATGTATGTATGTATGTATGTATGTATGCATGCATGCATATATATATATATATATATATATATATATATGTATGTGTATTTTTGTGTGTATGAATGAATTCATGCATACATGTATCGATGCATGTATGTATGCATGCTTGTATGCATGCACGCATGCATGTAACTATCGTGCACATTGTACGTGCTATGCCCGCACGCCTGCTTCGCGCACGCCTAGGTTTTAACCCAGGGCTGACCAACGTCTAGGCGGAATGCCGAGATGAACACCTGTGTCGAACAGTCAGCATTCTAGATTTGACAGGCGCTGCAGTATGGTCGCGTGGCGAGTTTCGGTTCTGTGCTGCAGACATACTGCGGTACAAGCTATGCGGGGCACGCCATGTGATGCAAACTATGTCAAGCATTATCTGGGCACTATGTGCAAACGCCACTCACACCATACACACCGCACGCTCAACGCAATCCTTCTCGGGGACACCATTGAGGAATCCCATGGCTTTTTCCAACCGTTTTTTGAACGGTCTGGAGCCTGTTGGGCACATTTTTGCGGGGCCGTCTTGGAAGCTTTAGGAACCGTCTTCGGGCCAAAAAACATACCAAAAGGATCATCGCATGTTTGTATATCTGGGCGTCTCCTTGGGCGTCACGGAAGCTCTCTTGGGGCCTCCGTGTCAGGGTGGGGGGCACTGCAGCGGGTGGAGGAGGAAGGAGGGAAGCGGATAAGGAGGAGAGGAGGAGGAGGAGGAGGAGGAGGAGGAGGAGAAGGAGGAGGGGCATGAGGAGGAAAGGACCAAGATCTTACGTGCGGGCCTCCTGGAAGCCTCTTGGGGTCTCCTGGGGTCCTCCTGGGTCTCTCGGAGGTCCCTGGGAGCCCCTTGGGGGGCGTCTCGGGGTCTAAGTGGGCTTCTTCGGAGCACGCTGGGGGTTTTGGAGGCCATCTTGGGGAGTGAGGTTCCGAAGGGTAGTTCGAATTCCTCCCTCTTGAAGCCCTCTTGGTGGCCTCTTGAAAGCTTCTTGGGCCGACTCGGGGCCGTCTGGGCAGCCTGTGGGCCTTCCTCAGCAATCTTGGGGGCCTCGTGGGCCGTCTTGAACAGTCTGAAGTCCGACATAACGAGACCCCGATGTCAAACCATGGAAGACGCCGTGGTTTGACTTCTGGGGGCCCTGCTTGGAGTTTTCTTGGAACCCTCTTGGAGCGTCTTGGTGGCCTCTTGGCCCGTCTTGGCATCGTTCAGAGCAGTCGTGGGGAGGTCTTGGGCCAGCTCAGGGCTCTTCGTGAACGTCCTGGAGCATGTTGGGCCATACTGAACGTCTCGTGGGGCCGAACATGGGCGGGACTACCAATCGCAAACCGATGTGCCATTGGGGGGGGGGGCCGACAATCCGGTATATCAGAGATCTGGAGAGAGAGAGAGAGAGAGAGAGAGAGCGAGAGAGGCACAAACGAAAGGGAGAGAGAGTGAGAGAGAGAGAAAGAGAGGGAGAGGGAGAAAGAGAGAGAGAGAGAGAACGAGAGAGAGAGAGAGAGAGAGCAAGAGCGAGAACAAGAGCGAGAACAAGAGAGAAAGAGAGAGAGAGAGAGAGAGAAAGAGATAGGGCGAAAGGGAGAACAAACGGAAGAGAGAGAGAGAGAGAACACGCACACGGCACACATCCTCCTCTCCCCTCGTCGTCATCATCTCCTACTCGTCCTGGTCGTACTTCTACTCCCCGCCCCTCCTTCTCCGCCTTCACCGTCCTCCTCCTTTTTCCTCCTTTGCCTCCACGGCAACCTCCCCCTCCTAATTCTCCGCCTTCGTCTCCTCCTCCTCCTCCTTTCTTTCCTCCCGCTCCACCCCTCCCACCGTCCTCCCCCTCCTGTTCCTCTTCCCGCTGCTGCTGCTGCTGCTGCTCCTCCTCTTCATCTCCCCCCCCCACACACATTTCCAGAACAAGGCCAACCCAAAACTTCTCTAGGTGCGTTCTGCCTACAAATCAGATGAGAATCCTGCCGGCTCCTTGAAAACCCTTCCGGGAGCCCTTAACCCAAACCTCCGACGTCGCCATTTTTTTCGAAAACTCGATCTCCAGAAATCCGGACCCCTTGCTGGGGACTAGCATCTCACCCTGGGCCCTTTTTTGACGACCTGGGGGCCCGGCGAGGGCCCACTGGGGCTGAAAGCGGCCAAAAACATCTCGTCGTGATTTTTTCCTTCGCGACGAGTGAAATCGGCGGCGACGATAGGGGCGAATAGCCCAGGGGCGGGCATTACACGTATTCGCCCGGGAGCCTCGCCGAAGACATGGTCATCAACGCCCTTGGATACATGTATTGCTCCACCCCAAGCTATTCGCCCCTATCGTCGCCTCCGGAAAAAAATCTGGGGGGGGTCCGTCACCCGCCGTCCCGGCGGGGCACGGTGCACGACAGCAACTGTTTTCCAAAACCGAATGCGGCCGTTGTTGGGGAGACGGCCTTGCGCCTCAAATGGACAACTCCCGCGGCGGCCATCAGGGTGCCCTGATGGCCGCTGCCATAGTCTGCTGCCCTCTGCTCCTCCTCCTCCTCCTCCTCCTGCTCCTCCTCCTCCTCCCCCACCCAAACTTCCTCCTCCACATCCCCGCTCCTCGTCGTTCTCCTTTTCGTCCCCATCCTTTCCGTATCCGTTTCGATCGTACCGCCCCTGCCGCTCGCCCGTCAGTTCCCCCCCCCCCCCCCGCACCAGCGCCCGGCCCCCTGGCCTTCACTGGCACCAGCCTCTGCTGCTCCGCCTCTCGCAGCGCCGCTTCCACACGCGCCCTGGCGGAGAGGCGCTCCCCCCACGCAGCCCCAGCTCTTCTGGGAGGGAGGCGAAATCCCGGACACGGCCCTGCAACGTGCTGAAATTACGCGACCGATGAATCCCACATGCTTGACGAATTTCTGGTGTTACTATCCTGCGTTCCGCTAAGTTCGCCCTGCCTGCGATCCATTTGAGCTGGCGCGATGGAAGAGCCACTTAAGCCAGTGTATCTGCGTCCAGTCTTCGAGGGGGATCAGGAAGAGGAGGAGGAGGAGGAGGAGGAGGAGGAGGAACAGAAAGGAGAGAAGGGAGCGGAAGGGGAGGGGGAAGGAGGATATTTTGCATGGTTTCCCTTGATTCCTGGTGAGATTCATTTCTGCTCTGCGCTGCTTCAGCGAAGGCGGGGCGGCCCACGGTTCTTCGACGGAGAGCCTCCGAACTGAGCGCGCAGGAAAATAAAAGTCAAGCATAGACCGTCGACGGATAATTTGCGTGAGCGCCCTTCGATGGGAAATCTCCACGCGACGGCCACCAATAACACGCGAGATAAGCGGGAGTTTGCGGACAGACAAAGCGCGGAACAATGACCTTGGTGATCGTAGGCACGGGAATCCACCGCATGATGAGCATCAACTGCCCAGGTGGCTGTGTGTACGAAAGGGCACGATGATGCTGGAGCTGTACACGGCTACGCCCATAAAGCCGGGCTTGAAGCCATCTGCGGAACGCATGAGCGTGGCAAAAGCGAGGCACCTCGCGCGTGACGCCCTAGCGTGAAAATCCTGGCGGTCTCAGACGGCTCGCGCTGAGGTGTTCACAGTTCAGGATGAGGCGCAACCACTCGCCACTGAAACTGATGCCATACACCAATGCTACTGCACCCGACGATGGTGTCGTGAATTCTGGACGCGACCCGGCCCGAGGCAGTGTCGACAGCTCCGGGAGAGCTGCAGATCGCACGCAAGGATAAAGATCCCACCCCCTGCGCACCCTTTGGCGTATACAACGCGCCACGCCTGCGACGCCCTGGGAGCTCGAGTCGGACAGCGCCCCCGCCCCCTGCGCACCCCCTCTGGCGTCGAGAGAGTGCCGCGGCGGCCACCCCCTGCGACCCGAGACGGATAGCGCCACCACCCCCGGCGCACCTTCCTCGGTGCTGCGAGGTGCCACGCCTGCCACGCTCAGGGGGCCTGCGACGGAGAGCCCCCCCCGCCCCCTGGCGCGCCGCCTCTTGGCGTCCGGAGGGGGCCGCGCCTGCCGCGCCCTGCGAGCCCGACGCAGGGACAGCGCCCTCGCCTCCTGCGCACGCAATCTGTGGCGTCTGCGGGATGCTGCGCCTGCCGCGCCCGCGGAGCCCGAGACGGATAGCGCACCCGCCCCCAGCGCGCCTCCTCGGGCACGCTTGTGGACTGCACTGAAGGCCAGTCCACAAGCGACCTGCCACAAGAAACCCGACCCTGAGACCCCAGGGCGTTCATTGGAGTTTCGGCGTGGGAGCGTCACGCCTTCCATAGAAAAGCCGCCGGAACCCAAGAAGCTCAGGGCACCCTGGCAAGGCAAGCAGGGTGTTTGTTGGCATGGGTCACCGCTGCACTTGCCAAGCCGCAGACGGTGGCAAGATCTAGAGACGGTGTTTGCGATGCTGAAGGTGCGCTTCGTGAGCCCAGACGCTTCCAGCAGGAACGGTCAGTCGACGTACAGTCAACGAGTAGAATAAGGAGGCGCGATAAGGATGCAGGGGCCTCTGGGAGGCAATGTCGACACCTTTCGAGCGGGGCGCGGCCAGCGAAAGTGGCCAAGGATGGGCCGCAGGGGCAGGGACGCAAGGGTACCCTTGGGAAGTTGCTCATCCTTGCTATGCGCCTTGACTGCAGGGCAAACGGCGCGTGCTCCACACGTCATCGACATGCCTCGGACGGCCAGAGGGTGGGATGCAGAAGGGGCCCTCCAGCAGCGAACACAACGGTGGCGTCACCGACAGCGACGCCTGCAGCCTGTTGGGCGACTCCGAGGTTCGGGCGGCCATGCTGATGCTCGAGGATGCGGCTAGCGAAGGCGCGCGCCCGCGCGCGGACCTGCCCTTCGCGCGCGCGCGCCTGCCAAGCGATCCGCGTACATCTGCAGGACGCGCGCCGCGCGCGTGCGCCTGCTGGCCGCGCGCTGCTTCCCGCTCCCCCCCCTACGAATCGTGCCCCCGCACAAGCGAGCTTGTGCGCCCACCACAACTCGGTGGTGACAAGCTTCCACGGTCTCAGTTGCTGAATGACATACTGTACACTCGCCATCGCTCGGACGTCAATTCCCCGTGTTTTTTTCGGTTTCGTGCGTGGCTTTTTCGCCAAATGATCAAGGATGCTCCTCGATGGTCCTCGCCGAAGGAAAAATGCACACGTCCGAGCGATGCCAAGGTACATGACTTGCCCCCCGCAGCGGCGCAGCTCCAGCCGCCTTTCGGCGCGCTGGCTGCCAACCCCGCGAGGAAACACTGCGCCGCAATGCTTGCCACGCGCGACTCCGAGTCCCTGAGTGTCGACGACGATGCCATGAAGAGGACGGAATTCGCCGCTGGCGTGGAGGTGGAGCTAGCGGCTGCGGGGCCGAACAAGTGGAGGATCCTCACTCCTCACCATCGCAAACGGCGTCGCCAAGCTGACTGGGCTGTCCGCGGACTACGCCTTCGATGTCGCCACGGGGAACACAAACATGCCGAAATCTGGAAATCCGAGACCCGATCGTGGGCGGTAAACATATGTAAACACATCATACAACATCCGTATCTGCGGCCTCGCGGACTGGTCCTCTGGGCCGCGACCCCGCGGATACGGTGTACTTTTTTCGTGGATGCCCCGCGCGGACCGTATCCGTGCGACCACGTATCCGAGGGACCGTGCCCCAGAAATTCCAGACCGCGAGGGCGCGGTTACGGATATGTTCGCCGCTCGCGCGGTGGCGTTGGAGGCCATCAGGCCCACAAAACGGCTGTGCACAAAACTGTCGCTCGCCGCCGTGACGCCCGCTCAGGCTTGGCCTCCACTGGCCCCACGTATGCATGCCTTTGAATGTATATGGCGGTTTCCGGAACCCCTGAGCCCAAAATGTTTCGGGGGCGCACCTTTTGCTTCTGCCGGCTTCTTCTTGTTTCAACCATTGCGCCCAAGAGCCTCCAGGACAGGGCGCTTCCCGAGGGGCCTAAGGGAAAACCAGCCCAAACACGGCGCGTTCGACAACCTGTACTTCGAACGGAGGGCCCACAAGCGGGTGCGCGTGCAGGACCGGACGGGGAGGCCGCCCACCCCACCCGAGGAAGAGGCGCCAACCGAACTTCGACCCTCGAGGGGCCACGGACCTCCGTCGAGCACGCCGCGTCTGCACGGGCTTTCGGCCCAGCCCGACGGGGAAGAAGGTTCGCCGCCCGAGAGCCGAAGGCTGGTCTTCTGCGGCAGTTCACGGGCGCCTCCCCCAACATCTTGCGGGCTCCTGCGGAGAGACGCCAGTCGACGCCAGATTGGCGAGACTTCACCCATTGTCATGCGCTCATCGACGCCAATGCCGTCGAACGACGGAAGAATTTGCGAAGGTTTTTTTCCTGAAAGTGTACGCGCTGGCAACAAGACGGCACGCGCAGTGACGAAACAGTTTGGAGTTGGGCAACTGTACGTACACGGCTGGGGCATCAAGACAGGCAGCAAGGGCGGTCCGGATGCGTCGCTGGCGAGGGAGGGGAGGAAGAGAGCGAAACTACAGTTGCGGCCTTGACCTAAAGAACCCTAAATAAGGAACGAGGCCCCTTTTATTCCACAAGTTGAACTTCGATTTCCTATGGAAAACATAAGGAAAGCCTGAGGCAAGCTGGGGAACACTTAAGGAACTCGGAGCCCCTCCCCGACGAAAAGGGTTCCTTCTTCAGGGCCCCGACTGTACGAAGGCATATGAGGCTCCACGATCTGCTACCGAAGCGGTCCCCGAAAAGGCCCCCCGGCTGGGCGACGGCGCAGCGGCCTGTCCGCCTCCTCGGCGGCCCGCCGCTGCTCCTCGCCCGCGGCCTCGGCCGCGGCCGCGGCCGCGCCGGCGGCCTGTCGGCGGGGGCCGGGGGAGAGGGGCGAGGCTACATTCGTGGCCCCCCCCCCCCCCGTGGCAAACAAGATGCCAGGCAAACAGCACACAGGCAGCCGAGGGCGAGCTCCCCGCCCATGCGTTGCGGCCCGCTGCAGCATGCGCACCCGTTGCTGGACCCGGGAGGGCGGCTGGAAGCAGGCAGGCCCAACGAGGCCGCCCCCATCAGGCTGTCCAGGGTCTTCTGCCGCAGGGGAGGACGGCACAACCCCCCCCACCCCCAACCAGGACCCCCACTCCCGACCTGGTGATCCAGGGTGTCCTGGCTGGGGGTGAGGGTGGTTGTCTGGCCATCAGGAACCCCGCAAAACCACAATCACCCCTGCCAGCACCCCTCGGGTCTCAGATCGGGAGTGGGGTTTCTGGCTGGGGGTGGGGGTGGGCTGTGCTGTCCTCAACACTCGTTTCCAGCCAGGATCGATGATCCTCAGAACAAATGTTGATGCCAACGTGTGCTTCTCCATCGAAGCCCTCCAGTATGCCGCAGGCGGTGTCATGAGGGCCGCGAAACAGGCTGCGTGCTGTCGGCGGAACTGAGCGGGGCAGCACACACACATATTTTAAGTCCGCGGGCGCCAAGCGGTCCAAGACAGTCAGACGCTGGTCAGCAAGCAGTGGGGTGCACTGGAGGCGAATTGAGGCACGAAGGCTGAAGGGAAAAGAGCGCGAGAAGAGAAGAGAAAAAGCCCGCTCAGACCGTGAAAGCCGGCGCGGGGATGCCGAAGTAGATCTTGCATGCGAGCTGCTCAGCGCCCCTCTAATCGGGACTCCACTGACGGGTACTTTGGCCAGTGACCCGGTGAACCCACCCCCCCGATGTGGACAACGCTGCAATTCCAGAAAGAGGCCCAGAAGTCGCAACCTTCGGCGAATCTCCAGCACCCGTTGGTGAGTACCCGTCACGGTGCCGCTGAGCTGCGTACGAACAGCGGAGGCCAGGGCCAGCTTGAAGTGGAAGGCCTTGAAGAGGTACAGGGATGACATACGCACATTGGGCTGACACGCGTTCTAGAACTCATCGACATGAGGTGCGTCAACCAGTGTCTCCCAGAATCAACCGACATGCGGGAAATCAAAAAAGGCACCGATACCGCTACTTCCCGGACCTCTCCTGGGGCGCGTTCCGACCAGGATCTCGACGCGAATCCAGCAGTGGCGGCGAAGGACGGGCAACCAACGGCATCGTTGTCCTTTCCTCGTCCGGGGTGGGGGACTGGGGGTCCCCAGACCGTGTTGTGACAGACCGCGCGGTGACCTCGAGATCTCGCAGGACATCACCGCGCGGTCCAACCAGCGCACGGGTCTGGGGGCCTCGGAGGCCCCTCCGCCCGAGGTGCAGTAGGGGCCCGACCACAAGAAACCCTCCGCAAGAAGCCCGACCCTGAGACCCCTGGGCGTCCATCGACTCCAGGTGCGGGAGCGTCGCGCTGTCCACAGCAAAACCATCGACACCCGAGAAACCCAGGGCACCCTGGAGGCAAGCAGGGCGTTTCTTGGCATGGGTATCCACCGTATCCTCGGAGAAAGGCCCATGCCAAAGCCGTGCGATGACCCCGAAGCCCCACCGACTCACCCCGCGGTGTGGTCACCGCACTGCTTTTGGAGAAACCACACAGAGGGCAAAACATCCGCCCCCCATTAGTACCACCCCAACAGAGCGAAGCCGCTTCGTGACCGCGCCCAGAGAAGAAAGGTAGCGCGAGAGCCAGGTCCGCGACGAAAGCTGTACTCTTCCTTCATCCTCATCCTCTTTTTACTCCCTTCCTCCTCTTCCTCCTCCTCCTCCTCCCTCCTCCTCCTCCTTCGCTTCCTCCTCCTCTGGGCTTGGGGCCCCCGGCAGGGGCGCTCGGGCCGCAGGGTGGATGGCAGCGCCCGGGGCGCACGCAGGGGAGCAGCGCCCGCCCCGGACGCCCCCCCTGCCCCTCCAAATAGGGGGAAAACAAACCTACCTCGCTTTTGACCACCCTCGCTTCCAAGAGATACCAAACGATGCCAAACTATGGCCTGTACTGGTCAGGCCGCTTGACGAGGAGGCACGTGGTATGACTTGGTTCTGCCTGGAAGCGAAAGCGGGGTAGGTAATTCACGCTCTGACCAAAGCAGGCCGCAGGCCGCCCGGGGGGGGGGAAGGTCCGCGGATTTGGACGCCCGAAGTGGGTGCGGAAAGAGTGGGTACAATGCCCAGCAACAAATGTTGTTCCAGAGCCAACAGAGGCCGCTGTCGGGCAGGCGGCCTTCTGTCTCAGATGGGCACAGGCCGCGGCGACACCGACAGCGAGTCCTGCTCAAAATGAGCAGGAGCTGCTGTTGGGCACTGTGCCCATTCTTTCCGCACCCACTTCGTTCGTGCCGAGCGGAGCGAGTCCGCCGCTGGGGAGGGAGGCCCGCGAGGGCGGGGGAGGGCACGTCCGCGCCTCGCGCAGTCCTCGTGCCGACCCAAAGGGCCAGCGCCTTGACGAAAATCAGGCAGGAGCTGTTTCGCCATGGTTCGGCCTCCAGGAGCCCTCGCGGGGCCCCGGGACCGTCCAGAAACGACTCGGGACGAAATGCCCGTGCTGGGGAATGGGTCGAGACCTCTGGGGATCCCGCACTGAACAGATCACGACAGCGGCTCCGTGGGAACCGCGTGTGGGTAGCCGGCCCTGGCGCGCCTCTGCCGCCCCGCGTGGCGCGCCCCCCCCCCCCCCCTGGCCCTGGCGCCGCGTCGCCCCGACGCGCGGGCCCAGCTCGCCTCTCGGCTGCCCCGATCAGCCTCGCGCTGGTGCGGACTGCCTCTGCCTCGCCGCCGGAGGAGGAACACAAAAGGGCATGGGCTGCCGGTTGCGGACCGGCGGCCCGCCCAGGGGCGGGGAGCGAGAGGTGGCGGGCCTGACCTCAGGAGCCGCGGAAGTCCTCCGGCCTGCCGAGCAGTGCTCTCTGAGCCTCCCCCGAAGACGCAGGAGACACAGAAGACCTATCGGAGGCCAGCTGATAAAAGCCTGGCCGCCATCCGAGCGAAGGCCTCCTCCTTCTCAGCTCCCCCCCCCTCGATCGCCGCCGAAGGGAGCAAACAGGGCTCGTGCAGGAGAGGAGCGATGCCGCTCGCCCCCCCGCGCTCGGAGCGACATCGGCGTCCACGGACGGGGTTTGCATCCTCATCGCGCATCCCCCTGGATGGACTGAGCATTTTCTTAGGGTGGAGGTCTCAGGGTGAAATCCATATGGGCTCTTGCACCCCGAGCATCAACCCGTCTTGTGACTCACCCTCTGCAGATCCAAGCCTCGACAATCCATCGAAACGGCATTTTAGATGTCACCCTTTGCTTTAAGTCGGGTGTGTCCCACTACAGGGGGATTTTGGGCGAAACATAAAAATACGAACAAAATGCCCGCCAAATGCTCAAAAGTACTCAAAACATCGTCCCCTGACTATTTTTTTACTATTTTTGAATATTCCCCCTGTAGAGGGACGGGCCCGACTTAACCCTTTGCCCTCCAGCCAAGGAGGAGGACGAGGGAGGAGGAGGAGGACGAGGAGGAGGATGGCATTGGATAAGGAACCCTCAGATAAAGAATCCAGGGTCTGGAAGCCGGTGGAACGCCAACTGAGGCTTCGCCATGAATATCACGGCCGCCCTCATCATGGAAGGAATCCTCCAGGGTCTGAAACCTTCTTGGGCACGTTCCTCAACACATGCCCCCACCGTATGAGGAACATCCTGGAGGCCTCGCGCGGCAGCTTGAGACCCAAGTTGCGCATCGCCGCGCGAACGTCGTCCCATATCTGACGGGGCGGATGTGCGGACTATACAATACAACCATTGCGCGCCGCGCGAGGCCTCCACGATGTTCCTCCTAGGACTCCCCGCCAGACTCGGGCGTGAGGGGCAACGATCGGGGGGGCTGGCAAAAGGGGGGGGGGGAAACATCGACCTGGAATCGGCGATGCATCGCTGGTAGATCGGCGATCAACCCCCGATAGCGAATCCGCACGTTCCTGGGCGGGGGCCCCCCCTTGAGCCTGCAGGCGTCCGAAACAGCGAGCGAATTCTCGCGCCGCATCATATCCCCCCCTCCCCCGTGATCGGCGTTGGCGGGGGACCTGGTCTGCACTTCGCCGCGGTCGGCTCCCGACGCGCCCACTTTGCACTTCGGTGGAGAGGAGGCCGTTTCCGAATGGCTTCCGCCCGCTGTATCCCCCCCGTCGTTGCCCCTGAAAGGCGGTTGTGGCACGCCGGGGTCCCCTCGACTCTGCCGTGAACGCGGCGGCGTACGCGGCGGCGTGGTACCGACCGCACGCGCGTGCTGGTCCGAGTCCCCGCAGGCCGCGGGCCTGGAGGGCCTCCGCGCCCGAGGACGCTCGAGGCGGGAGAGAGCAGCAGGCCGCAGAAGACATGCGAACGCCCACGGGCTTACAGTCAAGACGCTGAGAGAAGGACCACCTTGGTCGGGGGCGGCCAAGAGGGGGGCGTCCAAGAGAGCAGGGGGGGCGCGAATCATGGCTGGCGGCATGTGCGCGGTCCAGGGGGGGGGCTGGGAACGCATTGAAATAAGAAGGGGCGCCATGACATCTGGGGAGATATCATGGCGCCCGCCATGACATCCACCCCCCAATAGTCTTAAGTCGGGCCTGTCCTCCTACAGGGTGATTTTGGACGAAAAATTGAAAATACATCGGCGCTCCGAAAGTTTATTCCGACTTGAGAGGCACAGCGCCGCGCGAATGCAGAACAAACGCTATGCTGGACGGGCGCGGCAACGCGTGCCTCCTGGACAGGCGCGAGCAGCCGCGCCCCCGTGCGAACCCCGATCCCGCGCGGGGCGCGTTCCGGTTTGACAGTGGCTCACCCGGGAAACCGTTTCTTGTGCAGGAAGTCCCGAACGGTCGGCCCGTCGGCGGCTCCTTCGGACGAGCCCCGGAACCACCGAGAAACCGTTTGCCATAGGATGTTCTAGGCGGTTTGTCCATGTTCGACTTCTTCGGAGCGGACCCGAAGACCTCGAAATCGATGTTGTTTTTTCCGGAAAGTCCAAGGCGGTTCGCACATTTTCGGGTCGTTTGAAGTGGACCCGATTTTTTTCTTGGCGCACGTCCTATTGATTTGGCCACTTTCAGATACGTCGATGAACTTTTCGGGTCGTCGCATGACCGAACCCGAAAGTTTGATTCGAAGATGTCCTATGCCGTTTGCTCATTTTCGGGTCAGTACACCGTTTGGGATTCAAAATTTTAAAAAGGGAAGGGGAACCCGATCCCGCGACCCCGGGCGGGGGTTTAGCTGGGCCCCTCCGGCCAAACGGGGTGATGGGCTGCCCATCGGCGCGCCGACTCTGCCCTCGCGACATCGCCCCCGTCCGCCCTCGGGCCCCGCGACTCTTATCCTGTGCGCGCCATCCCAGATGGCCCTGGCGAGCACGGTGGCGAAATTGGGGAAACTTTCGGATCGGCGCAGTAGTCAAAAAAATACCACCAAATGGGCAACAAATGCTACAAAAGATAGCCCCCAGCCTATTTTCTTGACGATTTTGGAATATTCCTCCTGTAGAGGGACACGCCCGACTGAACAATCGTCCTCGCCCCCCTTTGGGCCGCCCCCGACTTGGGCCCCGGAGGGGCTCAGCACGTGGGGCCGCTCCTGGGATCCGCGTCGGGCGGGGAACCTCCTCGTGGCCGCGGCCTCGCCAGGGCCAGAACGGCGCCCTCGCGCCCTGCTCGGCGTGCCTTCCAGTAGCGACGACGGCTGTGCAGTGGGGGTCAGGCCACAGGAAGCCTGCCAGAAGAGGCCCAACCCTGAGGCCCCAGGACGTCCACTGGTTTTTTGGCGTGGGAGCGTCACGCGTTCCACGGCAAAACCATCGAAACCCAAGAACCCCATGGTCCCTCGTCCTGCGGCCGGGGAGGAGGAGGAGGAGGAGGAGGAGGAGGAGGAGGAGGAGGAGGAGGAGGAGGAGGAGGAGGAGGAGGAGGAGGAGGAGGAGGAGCAGGTCGTGCTGACACTCTGCGCTTCCACCGGGAGGCGCACGTCCGACCCCCGGCGTGCTGCGCACCGGAGCTGGACGCCCGTGTGGCCACGGCACCTGGCCAGGCGGCGCCCCCGTCGGGGTGCTCACAGGGTCGGGCTCCTCTGAAGGGGCCCAGGGACACACAAATCAATCCACAGAAATAAAAGCACCCCCCATAGTTCCCCATATTTTCTGGGCTCCTGCCTTCCCCCCCACCTCCCATATTCTCCCATATTCTCGGGGGAATCGAGGATTAAATTGTGCCTGCGTGTTTTTTCCCCTCCTGGTGCTCGCAGGGTCGGGCTCCTCTCGCCCGCCGCGCCGCGGCGGCCGCCGCGGCGACGCGCTGTGCCTCGTGAGCGGACCGCGCGTCGCTCCGCTGCGCGGGGCGGAGGGCCCGGAGGATTTGGACGCCCGAAATGGGTACCGAAAGAATGGGTACAATGCCCAACAACAACACATGTCGTCCCAAACCAACGGCAGCCGCTGTTGGCCAGGCGGCCTTCTGTCTCGAACGGGCACAGGCCGCGGCGGCGCGGACAGCGAGCCCTGCTCAAAAGGAACAGGAACTGCTGTTGGGCATTGTACCCCTTCTTTCGGCACCCCTGTCGGGCGCCCAGAGGTGAGGCTCGGGGCGCGGGCGCTCGGGGCCCGGGGAGGCGGCCGGCGCGCCGCGCCGAAGCGTGGCGGGCAGACCGGCGGGGCGGCTCGCGGAGTCCAAGTTCGAGGCCCTATGCCTTCTCGGCGGCGTGCAGGGAGGGGGTGGAGGGAGGGGGGATGGCCTCTTGGAGGGAGGCTGCTTCTCAGAGGGCGCCGGCTCCGTGTCTACAGAGAAGGCCCGCGCCTGCCAAGAAGCAGGCGTGCTCCTCAGAAGCCCTCCTCCCCCCCCCCCCGCCCCCCCCTCCTGCGCGTGGCTGACCTGTGCCTTCTGGCGGGTGGTCAGGGGGGGCGACCTGAGTGGGGGATGAAGGAAGAGTCCCCGCAAGGGGCCTTTCGGGGCCCCCTGCCGGCTCCCCAAGGGGCCTGGAAGGGCCCCCTTTGGGGGCCCTTCTCTCCACTCCCCGTGTGGGGCCCCCCCGCCATTGCCACCCTCCAGCTACCCCCCGAATGCTACAAGATGTTTCAGCCGGCAGGCTCGGCGAGCCTCCCGAGCCTCCCAAGCCACGACGACGACGACGACGCCACGACGACGACGACGACGACGACGACGCCGACGCCGACGCCGACGCCGACGCCGACGACGACGACGACGACGACGACGACGACGACGACGACGACGACGACGACGACGACGACGACGACGAGGACGAGGACGAGGACGAGGACGAGGACGAGGACGAGGGCGGCGACCGCCCTCTGGCGAGCAGGAGGGCCTCTCGGCCGCGGGCAGAGAGGATAACGGACACGATGCCGAATGACGCCGACGGCGGCGGCGGCGGTGACGTCGTCAGCGTCAGCGTCAGCGTCAGCGTCAGCGTCATCGTCGTCTTTTGTACATATGTTTCCGCGGCTTCTTCAGGGTTTGCGCCAAGCTTCCAAATGTTCCAGACCTTCTCGGAGGCTTCCCAATGGCTTCGCAGGCTTCCAAGAGAGGGCGGGAGCAGGAGGGGGAATTGGGGGAGGAGGAGGACGGCGGGGAAGAGGAGGGATAGGGGGCCCGAGGGGGAGGGGGAACCCCCCTCTCCCCCGCGGTTTTTTGCGAGTCTATCGAGGCCTGCTGTGCCTCCACGACATGTCTCATGCTGCGGATCCTGGGCGAATTCGCAAGGGGGAGGTGGAGGAGTGTGTGCGGGGGGGAGAAGAGCAGGATGAGAGGGGGAGGAGCAAGAGGAGGGAGGAGGGGGGGCGAAGGATTAGGAGGAGGAGGAGGAGGAGGAAGAGGAGGAGGAGCAGGAGGAGGAGGAGGAGCAGGAGGAGGAGGAAGAGCAGGAGCAGGAGGAGGAGGACGAGGAGGAGGAGGAAAAGGAGGAGGAGCGCCGCTGCCGCCATCGTCTGGGGAGCAAAAATGTTACCGATACCGCCACTTCCTGGACCTGTCCCAAGGTGCACTCTGGCCAGGTGTGTCGAGGCGAATCTGGCCGCGGCGACGAGGTCTCTCCAGCACCAGCAGCGGTAGTTGCATTCTCCCTGCTAGCGTTTCACGACAGAGGGTTAGCATGAATGAAAAAAACACAGAAGACACAAAGGGGGACGGATGGCCCCAGGACGCAGTTCCCGGACGGCCATTTTGCCTGAGACTGACTTTCAACTTATTCAGGAATCGTGCTCTTGCCTAAATGCCTGCAGCATTCTTTTGACCCAGGCGGCGACCACCCATTTTTGCAAAAGAATCACTGAGGCGGGTGCACATGGCCGTGCACGTCGCCGCTCTCACCTTTGCTGCTCTTGGGTGCTTTGCCAGGGTGTTGTCCTCCTCTGAAGAGGCGGGAGCCGTTGCCGCCGCCGCCGCGAGGTCGTCGTCGTTTCGTCGTCGTCGTTGTCGCGCCTCGACGCGCGGCGCAACGGCGGCGGCGGCGGCGGCCAGGGGAGGCCTTCGCCCGCGCGGCGGCGAGATCGGCGTGGCGGCGCTGGGCGTCCGCGGCCAGCGACAGGTGGCCCCCGACCTTGGCCTCGTCGCGCGAAGGCGCCCACGCCTTCTCCTACTCGCCCTCCCTCCTCCTCCTCCTCCTCCTCCTCCTCCTCCTCCTCCTCCTCCTCCTGCTCCTCCTGCTCCTCCTCCTCCTCCTCCTCCTCCTCCTCCTCCTCCTCCTCCTCCTCCTCCTCCTCCCCCTCCCATCTGGCGGCTCGTGCCGCGCGCCCAAGGAGGATCGGAGTGGACGAGAAGGGGGGGGCCGAACGACGACGACGACGACGACGACGACGAGGGAAGAGGACGAGGACAACGACGAGGACGACGACAACGACGACGACGGCGATTGATGACGACGCACGAGGACGAGAACGAGGATGACCATGACGACGATAGATAACGGATGACGGACGACGATGACGACCGATGACCCACAACGACTGACCATCTACGACGACGACGACGACGACGGACGACGGAAGACCGACGACGACGACGACCAAAAACGAGGGCGACAGTGGACGAGGAAGATCCGCGACCTTTGATCGACGACGACAACGACCGACGACGGACGAACGACGACCGACGACCGACGACGCCGACGACGACGGACGACGAAAACCGCGGACGGGGTCGATGACGACGATGGACGCGGACCAGGACCAGGACGACGATGATGATCGACGACGACGACGGACGACAACGGACGACGAACGACTGACGATGGACGACCGAAACCGACGACGACGGACGACGACGACGACGACGAGGACAAGAACGAGGACGGCGATGACGACGACGACGACGACGACGACGACGACGACGGCGACGTTCGACGACGACGGCGAAGGAATGCGAGGGCGAGGACGACGAACGATGAACGACCGACGACGACTATGACGACGACGAGGGCGACGGACGACTTGAGCCGCGCGTATCGGCATCCCCATGACATCTCCCTCCGCGTGCTTGAACAATTTGCTCAACAACCCATCTGGAACCGCTACTATCATATAACACGTCATTGGGCCACACCCTGAGCAAACCATGGGCATGCGTCGCGGCTGCACGATTTCGGGCCCGTCCACATCGTTGTCTGTGTCCGAAACTGATTCACGCACATACCCTCCATCAATGAAAGACGTACAGAACACCGAATCTGACAGACAATCCTACGAATAACATGCGGAGCAAACCAGCTACGGAAAAAAAACAACTTCTGAGTGGTGTTGTCTTTTTTTGTTGTGTTTGGGGGGCTGTGTCAATTTGAACTGATACCTCAAGCTTGTTGTCTGGCTCCGCTGGTACCCGCGAAACCCCCAACAACATGCTGCGATGTAGAAGTCACGGTGGGTGTCTTGAGCTCCCCTCGCGTTGAGTGCGACGAGGACAACAAAAAGAAACAGGCGAATGAACAGTCCGCCGCCAATCCGACACGGGGGAGTTTTCGACGAGCATTAAAAGATGGTTACCAAAAATTCAAAATAATCAAGCAACTTATCCCCAGACTATGTTTTAACATTTTTTGAATATTCCTCCTGTAGAGGAGCACGCCCGACTTAAATCTAGCAGTATGGCTCTCGAGGCGTGTCGAAATTGCACGCAGGCTTCCCGGGACCACCACATACGAGCGCGCCCATTGGGGCCACAGCCAGGGCTACCTTTAGGTCGGGCGTGTCCCCCTACAGGCGGATCTTGGGCGAAAAATTTAAAACACTCAAACAATACAGCAAAATGGCCAAAGATACTCAACAAATCGTTCCCATACTATTTTTCAATAGTTTTGAACATTTCTCTTGTAGAGGAAAATGCCCAACTTAAGGCTACATATGTGGCACAGCGCGTGCGACAATGTAATTGCGCCCTGGCAAGTGTTCGGACAAGGGTGACACGCACCACCTCCCAAAAACTGTATACGAACGGCCATTGTTCCACTTGCGTTCCGAGGCTCAGCGATGGGGATATACAGTGAAGGAGAGCACAGGGGTGACACGTGAAATTTAAATGGTGTAAGAAACATAACTTCCCACTCGTAAAGAAATCACAGTGGTGACGCGTGTCACATCGAAAAGCTGTGCGAGGAAAACAGCGCGTGTCACTTGTATTCTGAGCCTCAACATGGGGGCGCGCATTGCAGGAGAGACTAAGTGGCGACGCGTGCCACCCCGAGGTGCAGCTGAGCGCGCTGCGCGAGCCCGGATTTTTGCAGAGTCGCGGACACACGCGGGCGCATGCAGGTGGCAGGAGGAGGAGGAGGAGGGCGAGCGCTCAGCTGGGGTGGTTCGGGGCTCGAGTCGACTCGAATCGGATTGGGACGAAGGCCGTTGCCTCCGCCAAGCTACCGCAGGGAAGCACCTCCTGTGAGGCTCTCGACCTGCGACTGACTTTCCATTACGAATCCGCGCGCAAGCGAGAGGCGAAGCATCGCGGCTGCACGGGCCAAGGGGGGAATCCGACGACCCTCAAAGGGCCTCTTACACGCTACATATCGCCTCCACTATGCTGCGGCTCCAGGGGGACCAAAGCTCTATGAATTTTCTGTTTCCTGGAAGCGCCAGTGAACTTAATATACGTAGTGCAAAAGTTGACTGTCAGACGGCGAGAGGCGAACTTCATTCTCTGGATATGTTTCTTTTCCGCGATGTGCAACTGATACCTACGCTCAATTGCCTCATTCCCGTAACTGTCATAATCCTCGAAAGCACGCCAACTTCCGTCGACACCTTTGTACGTCCAATGTGGCATCAAATCGGCGCCAGCAGCTACTCCAGCAGCATCTTCAGCGTGCTCGGGCTGCGAACCGACGATTGCGCCTTCGACAGTATCTCCGTCTTCAGCTTCACCGTCGGTCGCAGAGAAAGAGCCTGACACCTCAGGCTCTGGGTAGAGCAACTTCTCGGCGGACGGCGCCATGTTGACGACTGCCTTCTTGGTGTCGGTCGTCTGCGCCGCGTCCGAGGAGCTCGGCTGACCGAACTGCACAGCCTCCTTCTCCGCCGCCGTCGTCGTCCTTCTCCAGGAAAGGGGTACCCTCCTCTGTGAAATCGACGTTCTCCTCTTTCGAGCGGGCAGGGTTCCCGCAGTCGATCGCCGTCGCGGTGGTGATCTTGCCAGCTACTGAGACGACGTCCTTCTCGACCACGACCTCGGGATCCTCGCCGAGCTGCTCCATCAGCTCCTCGCCCGCCGACGTGTACAGCACTTGGTCAGCCGCCTCGTCCTCCTCCGCCATTGGCCCACATGGCGGATCCTTCCGAGGGCGCCTCTGCAATCAGCTCCTTGCCAATCTCGTGCTGCTCCACATCCAGCGCCGCCCGCACCGTGTTGTAGGTCTCCATGATGGCCCACTCCTCCAGGCCTGGTGGGGCGCCGAGCGCCAGGAACTCCACCAGGCGGCAGCGCGCCCGCTGGACGTGGAGAGCATGCGTGGCGCGGGTGCGCGCACGCCTGCGCGAGCTGCGCGACAAGCCGAGGGCCGCACAGGCGGCAGCACACTGCGACTCCATCTGCTTCAGCGTCACCTCCAAGCCGGATGCCTGCTGCTGCAGGACTTCATGCGCGAGAGGTCTGCATGTGATCGGTACTTGGGCAAGCAGGGCAAGGCCGAGCTCGAGCCAAGATGAGTACCGCTCAAGCCGGCGGAGCCGACTTGAGCCAGGAGGAGGAGGAGGCGGAGGGAGGAGGAGGAGGAGGAGGAGGAGGAGGAGGAGGAGGAGGAGGAGGAGGAGGAGGAGGAGGAGGCCAGTTTCGTAGGCAGCAGGGCGAGTGGTCCGTTACCTCGTGCCTTGGCCTCCCCGCACCCCCCCCCTTCGCCCGCCGCCGCACCAGGGCGCGGTGGGAGTCCAGCCTGCAGCTCCAGCTGCCGCCTTCCGCCGGCGCGTGCCTCGCCCTCTGCGAGCCTCGCGGGGGGCCGCCGTCGTCACGGAGAATGGAGAGGGAGGACCGAAGAGCGAGGGAGGAGGGGATCGACGGAGGACCGGATCGCGGGAGGAGTCGAGGGAGCGTCCTCCTCCCTCTCCCCAGCCTCCCTTTTTTCTTCCCCGCGTCCTCTTGATTTCCTCTCCATCTCCCTCCCTACTTCCACGTCGTTCTCCTCCTCTCCTCCTCCTCCTCTTCCCCCTCCTCCTCCTCCTCCTCCTCCTCCTCCTCCTCCTCCTCCTCCTCCTCCTCCTCCTCCTCCATCCTTGTCCTTGTAAATCACACCTCCCTCCCTGTCGGAGCCGCAGGCGTTTTGGTAGGGCGGACTGAGCGTTTCGCCTGAATCCTGAAGCTTGAAATCCCACCAGCCCTCTGGGCGTCGGTGGTTTAGAGCGTTTCCTCTTCCACCCCTCCTTCTTCCCCTTCGGGGGGGGGTTTACCCCTCCCCCTACCCCCTCCCCACTGACCTGGACAAGGGGGGCCGCGATCGGTCAGAGCGTCCAAACCGGCCTCGGCGAGGAAGCCAAAATCATTGATTGTACTATGGTTTGGGCCCCATTTTGGCCTTCTGAGGGGCGGGCTCTAATTTAGGAACCCCCCTTCTTTGATCGATTTCCTCCACGATGGCCGCAAGAGGCCCCCAGGATGCCCCAAGAGGCCGCAGGATGGCCCCAAGATGGCCCCAAGAGGCCCCCCAAGAGGCCCCCAGGAGGCCCCCAAGAGACCCCCAAGAGGCCCCAAGAGACCCCCCAGAGGCACCCAAGGTGCTCCCAGAGGCCCCAAGATGGCCCCAAGAGGCCCCAAGAGGCCCCCAGGAGGCCCCAAAGAGGATTCCGAACGGCCCACAGAGGCCCCCCCGAGGCACCCAAGACGCCGAAAAGCCCCTCAGGACGACCCTCTACTCGCCTGGGCGTCGTTTCTGGACGGGCTGGTGGGGATACGCGAAGCGTCTAGAATCCCACCAGCCCTTTAGGGCGTCGGTGGTTTAACGAGTTTCCTCTTCCACCCCCCCTTCTTCCCCTTCGGGGAGGGGTTTACCCCTCCCCCTACCCCCTCCCCACTGACCTGGACAGGAGGGGCGGGGAGCGGTCAGAGCGTCCAAAACGGCCTCGCCGAGGAAGCCAAAATCATTGATTTTACTAAAGTTTTGGCCCCAGTTTGGCCTTCTGAGGGGGCAACAACGCTAATTAAGGCTCCCCTCTTCTTTGAAGCCAAAATCATTGATTTTACTAAGGTTTTGCCCCCATTTTGGCCTTCTGAGGGGGCAGCGCTAATTAAAGCTCCCCTCTTCTTTGAAGTCAGAATCATTGATTTTACCAAGGTTTTGGCCCCATTTTGGCCTTCTGAGGGGGCAGCGCTAATTAAAGCTCCCCGCTTCTATGATCGATTTCCTCCAAGATGGCCCCAAGAAGCGCCCAGGAGACACCAAGAGGCCCCAAGATGGCCCCAAGATGGCCCCAAGAGGCCCCCAGGAGGCCCCAAAGAGGATTCCGAACGGCCCACAGAGGCCCCCCCGAGGCACCCAAGACGCCGAAAAGCCCCTCAGGACGACCCTCTACTCGCCTGGGCGTCGTTTCTGGACGGGCTGGTGGGGATACGCGAAGCGTCTAGAATTTGCAACAGTTTCGCGGATGGAGGGCGCGTCGTTTTGAACAAGTGGCTCTCGTCTTGGCACGCCGCACATGTGTCCGAACAGTTTGCAGCCATTTCACGTATGAAGGGCGCTTCGTTTTCAAACTGTGGCTCTCGCCTCAGGGCCAAGCAGATTTGTCTTCAAAGTTTGCAGCAGCTTCATGGATGGAGCGCAGATCGTTTTCAAAATGCGGCCTTCGCCGTAGCGCCGCAAACATTCGTCTCGTCAGTCTTCGACAATTTGACTGAAGGTGGGCGGCTCCTTTTCAACATGTAGTTATCGCCTCAGCTTCGTGCACGTGTATCTCGAATTATTTGCAACAGTTTAAATACTGTATTCGTCGGGCTGAAGTCATAGCAGTGGCGTTCTGGCACAGTTTGGGATTGTCAAGACGCGATCGTCACGTTTACTCGCTGTGTTGCAATCCCAGGAATTGTTTCTGGTACGCTTCAGGATGGCCGGGACGCAACGGTCGCTTTGATTCGCGGCACCGAAGTCCGAGGAATGCTGTTCTGGCACGACTGAGAATTCTCCAACGATTCTCTTCAGATGGGACGCTTCTCGCGATGAAACAAACATTCTTGTAGGACCTATGAAGATGCACATTGGAGGGAGGTTGCATTGGGTGTATTGCAACATCGTTGACGCGGCTTGAATTTGCACTGGTCCTCCTCCTCCTCTCTCCTCCTGCCGGTGCTCGGTGCTGCGGGTCAGCTCAGCATGAGCTCGAAACCCTCGTCCCCCTCCTATCCTTCCTCTTCCTCACTACTTCCACTTCATCCTGCTCCTCCATTTTCTCCTCCTCCACCTCCTCAACCTCCTCAACCTCCTCCTCCTGCCCCCCCTCGTCCTCTCCGTCCCCCGCGAGCCTCCCAGGGGCCGTCGCCGTCGTCGAGGGCCAGGGATCCATGCTGGAGAACCAAAGATCGATGTTGCTGGGAAACGGTTGGCTTCAGAGTTTTCTTGAGGCATCCAGAGATCGTGGTCGTCGTCCTCCTGCTCCACCTCATCATTCTCCTCGTCCTTCTCCTCCCCCTCCCCTCCCCCATCCCCCTCCTCCTCCCCTCCTCCTCCTCTATCCTCCTCCTCCTCCTCCTCCTCCTCCTCCTCCTCCTCCTCCTCCTCCCCGTCTTGCCCACCGACTCCAACTTCATTCTCCTCATCATCGTCATTATTCGTCGTCGTCCTCATCCTCCTCCCCTTCCCCTCTTCCTGCATACTCCCACCTTCCTTCTCCTCCTTCCCCTCCGCCTGCACGGGTGGGGGGGAGCGAGTGAGGGAAGAGGGCCGATGTAGGAGGGTAGTGGGAGGGAGGAGCGAGGAGCGAGGAGGGAGAAAGGTGGAGGAGAGGAGGACTGTGGGGACGGGGGCGAGGAAGCCGAGTCTCAACTGCAGCCGAAGCCGCTTAGCCTGATGAGGCACGGAGCCTCCCTCCCGGCAGGGGGCGGGCCCAAGGCGGGTACGGAACCAAGTACAGGTACGATGCCCAGCAGCAACGGGTATTCGATGCCCACCAGCAGGAGGACAGATGAACCTGGAGACCTCCAGCCAAAATTTCCGCATTGCCTTGAGCCACCCAGGGGGGGGGGTCGTCGGAGTATGGAGAGTTTAGACAGCGGCAGCTCAAAATCGATGCCAGGATCCCTCCTCGGGCCCTCCCAACGCACCAGTGTTCCGAGCTGCATCCGCCCGTGGCGACGAGGGCCTCCCCCACCACCACTCCAACGTCCAACTACGGGCCACACGCAGGGTTGACCCTGGGTAAGCATGACTGTTGGTGCGCGGCTCTGGTGGGGCCGCCGAGGGACCAAACACACGCGCCCAAGACGCCACTACCGCATCGCGTTCGGCGATAGGGGACCCAATGGGCCCGCACCAAAGGTCACTCCGGCGGGGGGGGAGGAGGAGGAGGAGGAGGGAGGAGAGGAGGAGGGAGGATGGAGGAGGTAGGAGGAGGAGGAGGAGGAGAAAGGGTGGAGGAGGTGGAGGAGGAGGAAGGAGGAGGAGGAGGAGGTGTGGAGAGGGGGAGGAGGGGGGACAGGAGTGATGATGTGGATGGATGATGATGATGTTGATGATGTTGGATGATGATGTGATGATTGGGCTGATGCGATGTGATGCTGTGGATGATGATGCTGATGGATGCTGCTTGATGATGCGTCTGATGAAGATGAGAAGATGTGATGCTGATGCTGATGCTGATTGATGTTGCTTGAGTGATGATGATGATGATGTTGTGATGATGATGATGATGATGTGGATGATGGTGATGCTATGCTGATGGTGCTGATGTTGTTGATGATGATGATTGATGATGGAGGAGGGTGAGGAGGGGAGGAGGAGGAGGGTGGAGGAGGAGGAGGAGGAGGAGGAGGAGGGGGAGGAGGAGAGAGGAAAGGATTGAGGATGTGAGAGGATGAGGATGAGGCTGGATGAGGATGAGGATGAGGATGAGGCATTGAGGAGGAGGAGGTAGGAGGGGGAGGAGGAGGAGGAGGAGGAGGAAGGAATGGGATGAGGAGGAGAGAGGAGGAGGAGGTAGAGGAGGAGGAGGAGTGGATGGTGGAGAAAATGAGGATGAGGAGGAGGAGCAGGAGGAGGCGGGGGGAGGAGGAGGAGGGAGAAGGGATGAGGATGATGATGATGATGAGGGGAGGAGGGGGTGGAGGGAGGAGAGGAGGAGGAGGAGGAGGAGGAGGAGTAGAGGAGGGGTAGAGGAGGAGGAGGAGGAGGAGGAGGAGGAGGGTGAGGAGGAGAGGAAGAGGTGGAGGAGGAGAAGTGAGGAGGAGGTGGAGGACGAGGAGCAAGCAGGGAGCAGGAGGAGGAGGAGGAGGAGGAAGAGGAGGAGGGAGAGGAGGAGGAGGGAAAGGAGGAAGAGTAGGAGGAGGAGGAGGAAGAGGAGGAGGAAGAGGAGGAGGAGGAGGAGGAGGAAGAGGAGGGATTGTCGCCGCGGCTCGCCTCGAGACCCTGGGGAGGGCGTGCTCTCCTCGAGACCCTGGGGAGGGCGTGCTCTCCAGGAAGGGCCCGGGGGGAGGGGCGGCCGCAAAGAGCTGCGCGCGGCCCGGGGAGGAGGCCCCCAAGAGGGCCCAGGGGCATTCGAGGTCTCCGGCTCTCGATCCTCGAGACTGTTCGAAGTTCTACGCTGCGCTGCGCAGACTTCTGTGGCAATGCATGGGGGCCTCCCATACCATCTGGTTGGCTCTTGCGAGTCGACGCTAAGTCGACGATCGTCGGCGCTAGTCGACGCTAAATCGACGCTGATCGACGCTAGCCGACGCTCAATCGGCTCTATCCCATCGACTCTCAAACGCTGATCGACGCTACTCGACGCTGGAGTCGGAATTGAGAGGGCATACCAGTCTCCCATGATTTGCTACCGAAGCAGACGTTGGCTGGTCACCCGCAGCGTCACTTGCGAGGCCCACGGGGAAGAACAGCCAAGAGGGCACCGACTTGCGCGACGAGGTGCGGGCCTCAGCCCCTCGCTCCACCGCGCCGCGAAGTCGGCCGCGAAGTCCTCGCTGGCCATGGCGTCCAGCTGCGCCTCCGCCTCGGGACGGGCGGGGCGAGAACAGCAGAAGGGCCGCGCGGGCGGGGAGAGCGGGAAGAAGACTCGTTTGCGATGTTTCTGGGTGCGCGTCTGGCTTGCCTTCTGAAGCCTCAGGAATCGTCCGGGGACCTCCTCCACAGGAGGAAAACGCCTTCTTGAATACTCCCGCAAGGCCTCGGGCGAACATCATAATTGTGTATGTACGTTCACGCAACTGTGTATGTACTGTATGTCTCTCTGTCTGTCTGTCTGTCTGCCTGCCTGCCTGCCTGCCTGTCTGTCTGTCTGTGTGTCTGTCTGTGTGTCTGTCTGTCTGTCTGTCTGTCTGTCTGTCTGTCTGTCTGTCTGTCTGTCTGTCTGTCTGTCTGCCTGTCAGCCTGTACGCATATAGGTCAGTAGACACGTACGTACGTACTTACGTACGTTTGTATGTGTATGTGCGCATGTGTGCCTCATGTGTCTCCGCCTGAAGCCAGAAGCGCTGTCTATTGGCAGCTGTCGGTGAAGTGGGGCTCGCGGCTGGCCTGAACGTTGCCGACGGCCCTCTCTGGTCATGTAAACACGAAAAAGTCTCCGTGCGCCCCTCAAAACCGTGGCTGACGCTGAAGGCTTTGCCACGGTCTACAGTTGCGGCCACTGCAGCAATAGCCGTGCTGTGAAAGGCCACGCAAGTGGTCTACGTAACAAACGTTTGAGCACCAGCGGTTTTCAAGCAAACCTGTGAGGCACACGGGAAACAGCGGGGTTTGGGGCACTTTACAAATACCCGTGCTCGCATTTCAAAAGCTTGGAGGAGGCGGGGTCGGACGGTGGAGCCAAGAGGAATACCTAAGGCACACTGGCAACGGAAACAAAAACAAATTCGCCGGCCCAACGGGCGAGAGGCGTGCTAAGATCTCTGGTAACTTGTTCACAATTCTTCTAGTTCGGGCGCGCGGGGCGGCCCCTGGGGGTCCCCCGGCGAAAAATACCCCGACCGCAGCCCGGGAAGGTCCCGGGAAGGTCCCGGGAAGGTCCCGGGAAAGTCCCGGGAAGGTCCCGGGAAGGTCTACTCAGAGGTGGTTTTCCTCCTGGGTACGGCCTCTCAGGCCCCCCAGAGCGCGCCAAGAGGGCCCCAAGAGGCCCCCAAGACTGCCCAAGAGGCCCCCGAGACGCCCAAAGGACGCTCCAAGACGCCGAAGATGATCCCAAGACGTCCCAAGAAGCCGCCAAGACGCTCCAAGTGGCCTCCAAGAGGCCTCACAAGAGCGCCCCGAGAGGCCAAAATCATAAATTTTACGATGGTTTTGGAAGGATTTTGGCCTTGTCGCATTTTCGGCTTTCCGATGCTCCAAGACGGCCCAAGAGGCCCCCAAGAGCGCACGAAGACGGCTCAAGAGGCCCCCAAGAAGGCCCCCAGAGAGCCCAAACGGGCTCCGAGACGGCCCAAGAGACGCCCAAGACGGCCCAAGAGAGCCCCAAGACGGCCCCAAGAGGGGCCCAAGATGGGGACCACGAACCGAAACCTCGAGCCTTCCGCCCCAAGAGGGCCCCAGGAGGCCCCGAGAGGCCCCCAAGATTGCCCAAGATGCCGCCAAGAGGCCCTCAAGAGACCCCAGGAGGCGCCAAGGAGGCTCAAAAGAGGCCCTACAAGGCTTCAAACATGTCTCCCAGGCGCCCCCGAACGGCCTCTCAACAGACCCCAGGGCCTCCCAAAGAAGCATCTGGACGATGGCCCTGTTTGGCCCCAAGAGCGCCGCAAGATGCCATCGAGAGGCTTCCTCCTTCGCCCTTTTCTCTTCCTCCTCCTCCTCCTCCTCCTCCTCATATTTCTCTTCATCCTGCTCCGTTCCTTCTCATCCTCTTCTCCTCCTCCCCTCCCCCTCCCCATCCTCATCTTCCTCCATCCGGCGGCGCCGAAATAGCCCGAGCCCGCGCCGAACCAGTAGCGATCATGCAATACGGGCCGGCGGAGTGAGCGAAGCGATTGAATACTGCATTTGAACTGTGCGGCGTCTGGACTGGAATCATTAAAGCTTGGCTGGTCGCGCCTTTTTGTCCCCACTATACCATAGGAGCACTGTCTACTGGTAGCTTTCGGTGGGGTGAAGCTCGCGGCTGGCCTGGACATTGCTGACGGCACTACGACAACCAAGTCAAAACGCAAACCGAGATTATTTGTGCCTTTTGTCCCGTGCTTCCGCTATCATATCGTGTCCTGGGACAGCGAAGGAAAGGCCTCGCAGAACAGGGCTCCCTCTTCCCGGAAGGCTGTACATGGCAGTGCGAGAAGGTCTCGCAGAAACGTCTCGGATACTGCTGAGTCTTCCTTGCACGCCAGACCCCTGAGACTTGACGGCTAAAGACGCACGGGGTTGCCCCGAGATGCTACAGAGACCACGGAGGGCTGCACAACGCTTGTCCATCACCTTGGCCGCAAGGCAGTACCAGACAAACAATCTCGCGGGTGTCTTCCGAGGAGTACCGTAGGCGTACTGATCCAGCAATGGGCAATGGGTCTTGACGACGAGGAAAATTGGTTTTAATGCAAGAAGTCTGGGATGAAGCCAGGGCCTGAAAGTCGAGGGGTTTTCTTTGGCGGCCATCACTCCTGTGGGTAAAAGTTCCCGCAGCAAGCCTACCAGCAGCTCCACCACAAGAGTGCCCAAGGGCACAGCCGCCTTCTCACAGGCACGCTCATGCTGTGGGCAGCCCAACAAATCGAACTGGAACTGGAATGTGAGCGGCGTACGCAGAGGCGCGCCCTGTGCGGGCTGCCGGGGACTTCTCGCATTATCGCGCGCGGCTTCTCGCATTCTTGAACCCGTCTTCTCGCATTCTCGCAAGCGCCTTCTCGCAGCCCAACGGATGCCTCTCATCATTACCCCGCAGACGAGGCAAGGGCGGGCGGCCCCCGAATGCGAGCCCGGGTCAACCGCGCGATCCCGGCCCCGAGCGCCACGAAGACCCTATTCGGGCCGAAGTGGTCGCTTTGAGGTCGAGGGCGATGCCTTCGATGACCGAGTACCTCGAGATGTCGGCCCCTGGGCCGATGGCCGCATCCCAGCCGACGCCGCCGATGCCCTGGCTCCCCGCGCTGTCGAGGATCCCCGCGCGCGCCGCAGTGGAGTTTCTGGAGAAGCCGCTGCGTTTCCCGGGCTGAGGTCCGAGAACATTGAAGGGGCCCTGGGACACACAAATAAAGACACACAAATAAAAATATGTCCCACATTTTCTTATATTTTCTGGGTTTCTGCCTTCCCCCCCACTTCCCATATTTTCCAATATTTTCTGGGAAATCGACGATTAATTGTGTCTGTGTGCTTTTTTCCTTCCTGAGACATATCCACCTGGGACATGATCCACGCTGCCGCGCGGGTGGCGGCGGCCTGCTGGGCGCACGGCAACTTCGCCCACTCCTGCTGCGCCACCCCTACCACCCCCCGCCACGCTTGACGTCCAGGAGGGCGCGGACACCCGTCGGGATGTTGCGAGACGGGCCAGCGTGGCGGATCTGGCGCAGGCGGCGCCGCTGGCCGGAAGCAGCCCGAGCTGCTCCTGTGCGCGACCCCACTGAGGGCTGAGCTCCATCTCGCTGACATCGAATCGGTATGACGCTTGGTAAGAGTGACCTTTGGTGCGCGGCTTTTTGGGGGCCGCCACCCCTACCACCCCCCGCCACGCTTGACGTCCAGGAGGGCGCGGACACCCGTCGGGATGTTGCGAGACGGGCCAGCGTGGCGGATCTGGCGCAGGCGGCGCCGCTGGCCGGAAGCAGCCCGAGCTGCTCCTGTGCGCGACCCCACTGAGGGCTGAGCTCCATCTCGCTGACATCGAATCGGTATGACGCTTGGTAAGAGTGACCTTTGGTGCGCGGCTTTTTGGGGGCCGCGGGGAGGGGGGGGTGGGGGGGGGCAACCCCAAGTGCGCAAGACGCTACTGCCGCATCGCGTTCGGCGATCGGGGGACCCCAGTGGGCCCGCACCAAAGGTCACTCTGGCGAAAGGTCACTCGTACGTGTAGCCGAGTCGAAGAGCTCCGCGAGTCGCCAGCCCCGACAGCGACGCTGCAGTGCCAGTCCGAGCCTCGGGTGGTGGGGGGGGGGTCGCGGAGCGGCGCCTCGTCGGACACCCCCACCTTTCACGTCCCCCCGCGCCGAGCTGAGTGCATGTTTCGAGGAGGGGACCGACCGTAACATGGATTCACCTACAACTTGATTTTCTCGTCGAGTGTACCAACACACACACACACGCGTATTCTGTTCGTAGATCTACGAACATGCTTTGGATTTTTCCGTAGACTCGACGAATAAACAGAATTCTGGTGCAGATCAACTCTGAAGTCGATTCCTCACTCGAACCTTGAACATCCAGTGCTAGGTCGGGCCTATCTCCCTACAGGGGGATTCTGGGTGAAAAATTAAACATACTCAACACATACTCCCAAAATGCTCAAAAATAGTAAAACAATCGTCCCCAGACTGTTTTTGGTATATTTTTGAATTTTCCTCCTGTAGATGGACAGGCCCGACTTAACTGTGGTCGATATCCCCCGCTCGAACGTCGAGCACCCAGTGGCTGCTCTGGCCTCTGGGCGGCGCCAGGTCCTCCCCCCCTCAGGCTGCGAGCGCCCGCGGGCACGAGGCGCAGCGCGCGAGCGCGGTCGGCAGGCTGAGCGGGATGGTCCGGTCCTGAAGGCGGCTGTGACGTCGGAGCCCAGGCCCCTGCCAGCTCACACCGTGTTGAAGATGTCGTGCTCGCAGCCTGTGCGAGAGCGGCGCATACTTCTCGGAGTGCAGCCCGATCGTCGCGTCGAGCGTGAGGGTCAAGATGGCGAACGGCGTGGTATGTAAGTCAGGAAGGCCGTGACCAGCCTGTGCGCGCTGGCGTGGGTGGGCGCCATCAGAAGCGGCCACAAAAGGAAGCCTTGGAAGGCGGTTGTGCCAGGCGATCCAGCACACCACCTCGAAGGGGTCCGGCGGCGCAGTCTGCGCTGCCGCCAGCGGGTCCCGAGCCCCGAGCGGCGCGGGAGAACCGCGGGAAAATCGCAACCGCAGCTTCCTGACAGGCAACCGGTCGGCACGGCACCACGCGGCCGCGGCGCACGTCCTCATGAGATCTGGCCTCTCGAAGCCCTCCACCCGACACGTGGCGCGTGGTTGTGCGCCATGCATGTCAGGAGGGAGGCCATGCCTATTCTAGAGACTCGAGCGTCGCTGTTGGGGGGGGGGCGTCATTATACACTCTATGAGATCAGCGCTTTTTCTTTCGGGAGGCGCCTGCTACTTGTGTGGGGGGGGGAACGCTCTGGCTGTCGGGCGATCCCTCGCATCGCCCGACGACCTGTCGTAATCATCAGGCGTATCGCTACGCACCTGGTGGCCGCTGGCTCAAATCTTTCTGCGCGGCGGGCCCTGGCTCAATGACAGCGAGCGACGGCCGACAACGCCGGGGCGAGCGACCGACGCCGGAGGCTCTCGACGCCAGAAGCTACAACCGTTGCAATGTTTTGACGCTGGGCGTTTGCGGCCCGTCGGGCTGGATTGCTTGAGCTCTTGAGCCAGCAACACTAGGGTGCCCTCCCCGAACCGCAGAATATTCAGCAAACACGAAGAACACTAGGGTGCCCTCTCCGAACCGACATCGATCTTCTACCTTGGTCGGACCGCACCCTTCGCCGGGGGGGGCGGCCAAAACACACAAATCATTCGAGGGTATCCTCCCCCAAGATGCGCCAGAACATCCAACAAGCACGAAGAACACCATGGTGCCCTCCCCGAACCGGCCTCGATCTTATAGCTCGGTGCGAACGTACTCTCTGTAGCCGCCAAGGAGGAGGCGAGGGGGAGGAGGAGGAGGAGAAGGAGGAAGAGGAGAAGAAGAGGAATAATAGCAATAACAATGATTATAGCCGGAGTGCAGTATCCCCAAACAGGGTTTTTAGACCCACTGCGGTTTCCAAGGTCGATTGCGTGCACGTCCAGTGCGGGCTGGCATGGCATGTTAAAACATGCCTCCTCCTCCTCCTCCTCCTCCTCCTCCTCCAACTCCTCCACCTCCTCTTCATCCCGAACGGCATCTCGGAGCCCAGACGCGCGGCATGACGTACCCCAGAGTTGCGACGATGTCTCTGGCGAAACGTGCTGCGAGGAAGTCTCAGGCGAAACGGGCCAGACCACCTCGAGCGCGGCGTCTCAGAGCTCCGAGTTGCGTGGGCCTCCTGGGGCCTCCTGGGGCCTCCTGGTGACCTCCTGGGGCTTCCCCCTGGGCCTCCTGTGGCCTCCTGGACCCCACCTGGGGTTTCCTGAAGCCTCTTGGGGCTCCCAGGGGGATACCTAACATGTGGCCGTCGGGGCCCCCCAAAATTGGGGGGGGGGCCACAAGAGCAGGAAAAATCAACGAATCGACACCGGATTTGTATTAACTTGGCACGTTCTGATGGGGTGCCTCCTGGGAGCCTCCTGGGAATCTCCTGGGGACCCCTGGTGCCTGTCCTGGGTGTCCTGCGGCTTCCTGAAGCTCTCTGGGGCCTCCTCGGGCTCCCAGGGTCCCAGGGGGGATATGTAACATGTGGTCGTCTGGGCCCCCCAGGCTGGACCACCTCTTGCGCGGCATCTGGGAGCTCAGAATTGCGAGAATGTCTTGTGCGAAACGGGCTGGACAAACTTGCGCACGGCATCTCAGAGCTCAGAGTTGCAAGGATGTCTCAGGCGAGACGGGCCGGTGTCTCGGGCGAAACGTGCTGCGAGGAAGTCTCAGGCGAAACGGGCCAGACCACCTCGAGCGCGGCGTCTCAGAGCTCCGAGTTGTGTGGGCCTCCTGGTGCCTCCTGGGACCTCCTGGGGCGTCACTCCTGGGCTCCGGTGGCCTCCTGAACTCCACTGGGGTTCCTAAAGACTCTTGGGGCTCCCATGAGGGAATATCTAACTGTGGCCGCATTGCCCCCCTCAAAATTAAAAGGGGGGGGCACAAAGAGTAGGACAAATCAATGAACGACAACCGGTCATGTGTCGATAATCGCAATTTAGATAGTTAACTTGACACGTTCGGATAGGGGTGCCTCTGGGGCCTCCTGGGAGCCTCTCTGGGTATCTCTTGCGGGACCCTGGAGGGCCCTGTCCTGGGCGTCCTGCGAGCTACTGGAGCTCTCTGGTGCTTCCTGGCCGGGCTCCCCCGGGTCCAAGGAGGAGGATATGTAAACAGTGGTCTTTCTGCGCGACCAAGGAATGGACACCTCTTGCGCGGCTTGGGAGCTCAGAGTTGCGAGAATGTCTTGTGCGAAACAAGCCAGACCACCTTGCGCACGGCATCTCAGAGCTCAGAGTTGCGAGAATGTCTTGTGCGAAACGGGCCGGACCACCTCGCGCAGGGCATCTCAGATATCAGGAGTTCGAGGATGTCTCAGGCGGGCTCCCAGGGTCCCAGGGAGGATATGTAACATGTGGTCTTCTGGGCCCCCCAGGCTGGACCACCTCTTGCGCGGCATCTGGGAGCTCAGAATTGTGAGAATGTCTTGTGCTCCTTTATTTTTTTCTTTGCTCGTGCGAACAGGCCGGACCACCTTGCGCATTGCATCTCCAGAGCTCAGAGTTTTTTTTTTTTTTTTTTGTGTTTACGAGGATGTCTCAGGCGAGGACGGGGCCGGGGACCACTCGCGAAAGGCATCTTCAGAGCTCAGAAGATGCGAGGATGTCTTCAGGCGAAAACGGGCCGGACCACCGTCTCCGCGCGGCATCTCCGAAGTCAGAGTTTCGAGGATGTCTCAGGCGAAACGGGCCGGACCACCTCGCGCAAGGCATCGCAGAGCTCAGAGTTTCGAGGATGTCTCAGGCGAAACGGCCCGGACCACCTCTCGCACCGCACCTCGGGGCTCAGAGTTCGGAGGATGTCTCAAGCGAAACGGCCCGGGACCACCTCGCGCGATGCCGTCCCGGAGCGCAACTTAATTTGACGGATGTCTCAGGCGAAACGGCCAATAACACCCCGCAACCAACTCATATTAAACGACAGATGTTACAAATTCCAATCCAATCGTCCCGTTGTCTCAAGGCGAAACGGCCAGCAGCCTTTCAATGTTTTGTTGAGGATGTCGCTGCTCCGACTTCCCTCGGCCGAAGTTAGCTTCTATCACAACAGCACCCCGTTCAGCAAGCTGTTTGGGGAAAAAGCAATCCCTGGGATAAGATCGAGAGGTCCGCGGACGCACGTCTCGAAACAAACATTTGGACGTCGGATGTCTGGGGATGGCGGGAGGCAAGGCGCGCATGGCAGATGCTGAGGCGGCAAAATGACGGAGACGGCGACGGGGGGGTGGAGGCAGAGGCACAGCAGCGAAAGGCGAGAGGCGTGAGGAGGAAGGAGGGAAGAGGAGGCAGGCGGGAGGCAAGAGCAGGGAGGTGGGAGAAATGAGAGAGGTTTCAGGCAGAACGGGGCACACCATCTCGTGCGCAGCATCCCGAAGAACCCTGACGAAGAACCAGTCCCGGGGACGAGATCGAGAGGTCCGCGTGCGCACGTCTCGAAACAAAAATCGTGACGTCGGATGTCTGCGGAGGGCGGAAGGCAGGGCGCGCATGGCGGCATCTCGGAGCTTCGCGTTGTGA